ACACGGAAAAACTCGTGAGATGTTGATTTTTTAACAGCTAAAAAAGTAGAGAAATGGCTTCATAAGCCATAGACCATAGGAAGTTTTGCAAAATTAACAATAATTATTTTCCGTAACACAGAAATGAATGTTCCTGTTTATATAGAAAAGAATTCAGCCCATCCAAACATTAACTCTGGAATAACGTAGCCTACATGGACGCCGCCATGTTGCTTGTCACTAACTACCAGCAATAACCGGTTGTTCGTTCTCGGCGTTCGAGCGGCCGACCGACGAACAACAAATGGAGCTGTTCGTGAACATACGGGAACAAGCCGCCCGAACTCGGCCTGTGAGGGCGCCAAACACGACATCAGAATTTTTTTCGCTCAAATGCACCGCCTTGGCCTTATATAGCGAGGGCGCAGGCATGGTTGACCGCTTTCAGTGTACTGACAACGAAACAAAGGGGCCGGGTGAAGGTTCGCGTTTGTTCAAATCACTACACTAGGTAACAAGAAAAACTTGCAATAAGTTCACACCTGAAGATTATATTCAAGAGAGTAGGCTTAAGATGACGAGAAAATAATTTGGTGAAAATCAATTGGAGTGACCTTGAATGTAAAAAACTATTCCTTGCAAATCCACAAGATGGACTCTAGAGGGCTAAAAGGTGATCCAGATTTAGTTTTAAAAGGTGGTGGCCAATGGTAAAGAGGATCATGAAAGAAGAGAACACGTTGGTATCTTCTTAAGTTTAAATCCCACTGGCTTTTTTAATACTGTTAGATTGCTGTGGACGCTGTGGATGCTATCATATTTAAACAGTTTCTTTCAAAATATTTATCTCGAAAAGGAGTTCCATAGACTGAAAAAGAGAATACAAATGCACAAAAAGTGAGTCTGAGACAAATTCATTGCATGGATTCCCAACTCCAGCTGAGTCCAGCGGTTTCCTGATGACGAACAGAGCACATGTTTGGGAAGTCGCTAAAGAGAGAAGCTTGCATCATAGAGCTACAAGTTTTCCACACCTGTTACTTTAAACCTTCCAATTATTCAGTAAGTTGGAACCAATGTGGGTACTATCATGCAAGTGCAAAGTTTATGAGGTAAGTCCAGCCATTAACCATATTTACAGACTACAAAAACACGACAGCAGTAGGCCTATGTATTGTGCGAGAAAAACTTTGAGATGAAGAGTAAACAGGTCCTTTTATAGAACCAAATCAGGTCACTGACGAGCGTAGGCGAAAACTTAAAAGCTAGCATTTACAGCGACCTTGTGGAATTATCGAAGCGTATACGAAATGGTATTGGGGACATGGTTAAAACTTTTCTCTCTCGGTTCTCATTTAATAAGCTAAGAGTCGTGCGAACAAAATGTTAGCTATAACGTACCAGATGCAAGTCTTACGTATAAGAATCAAATCGAAAGTACGAATTCACAAGTCGCAATTGCGAGATAAAAGGTCGCACATACGAGACGCAAGTCGTGGGAACGAGTTTGAAATGTGGGCTTTGCATCGTGACAGACAAAGCTTAACCCTAACAATCCTCAATCCTCCAATTTCAATATGCTTTCACACCCCCTGGGGGTGTTAATCCCTTCACTTCAACCACTGAGCATCATCCACTTTTATAGTTTGACATTGTAAATAGAGGTTTTGGCACGTTCTCAATCGCTCGTGATTGGCCAGCCGTCAGTCGCCTGTCGTGGCTAAAATCAGGGCACGGTCACACATCACAACTTCCTCTGTCTGTACAAGATATATATATATATAAACCCCATCCCCGCAGAATTTTGAGCAATCTGACCTCGAGTGAAATCGCCCACGAACCTTCCACAAATTTCCAACGACTTCGAATCTGGAACGAGGACACAGATTATCATCTGCTGTGATTCGTGAGGTAAGTTTGCTCGTCCTTTGAAAGTTGACAGATATGAATATGTTGAACACTTATTAGGGTCTGAAATTGTCAGTTTCAGACCGACAAAGAATGAACCAATCAAAGTCATAATTTGTAAAGGTCCGAGTTTTAATTCACAGAACAGATTCTACGAAAATTATCTCTTACAAGCACAGGTCCTCGAAAATGTTAAATGATGTATAGTTTCTAACATCCCACTCATCCAGAAAGCATGTGTTAACTATTTTTGCAGTCGATGAGACATAAATCGGACACTGGGGACGCGATTGCAGCAATCTGCCATTGAGAGAATGATATCAAAGTTATCGTGTCCGTTCGAAGCAGAGATTGGCAAGAAAACAAAGGAGGTTATGATTCCTCCAAAACTGAATTATGAATTATCTACATCAAGGCATAAAATGTTACACTGACGTTTATATTCGTAAGGAAAAACCGTTTTAGACGTGCAGCTATAGTAAATTCACCCATTTAGGGGTATGGTAGCCAATGCAACCATCCAGGGGCACACCGAAGGGGGAGGGGGCGAGTTTTCATTTTGAACATTTTGAAGTACGAGCTCTGATATTGCCGTACCGTGCCAGTCCCCTGTGGTGCAACGGAGGAGGAGGTGAAGTCTATCGAGTATGAGAGGGGGTAAATTCCCGTCCGAGCCTCCCCCAACACATGGTGCGCAAACTGTCAGCATCCTTCACTAAAGCATCCAACTTCTCACAAACGTATACCAGGATTTTTTAATCCGTGCAACCATCCTTTCATCTAAAATAATTATGCGCACTTTTCCAACAATGCGCTTAATGTGATACCACTCTACTTACAGAAAACAGTGCTTTCTGGTAAATTCAGCGAGTTCGTTTTATTACAGTAGATATACATATCTATGGAGTAGGCCTAATTATGAATAAAGTACTCGTAGTCCGCTGTGATCAATTCCTGATTGGTCAAAACCTCACCGAGCAGACTATTTTGCTGCCATAGGGTTTCTGACGTTGTTCTAACGTTGGCCAACGGTCAGCGTTTTGACATCAGCTTGCCAACAACATGTGTGCCGACATTGGTGCGCTAACCTTGTGTGGACATGTAAAAAAAAGATGTCCACACGATGCAGGAAGGGATGAAGTTGTATGGACTTACCCATCTGCACTAGGACGTTTTCCCTTCTCTGAAAACGATTAGAGGAATTTTGGGGTTAGAGTCATTCGCAGTAAAAGGGAGATGAACAATCGAGGAAACCTTTTACAAAAAACCCACCTGAAACTCATGCTCCCATTTCAACAAAAATGAGAATTTTCACACAGTATTCTTACCTGCAGAAAACAAAGGAATGCCCATACTAGGTATGAAACATACCTATGATTGGTTTGTGTATCTGACGTCACTTGTCGACGTT